TCCTCAGGCATGCAGTCATGGTTTTTTTTTTGCTGTGTGTGCTCACATAGCAGAGACTACCAGCTCACATGACCAGCTTCTTCTAAAATAATTTTCTGCAGCTTGCAGAACATTTTTATGTGCTAAAACTTAAAAGTGGAAATTGCCCCTGCCCCATTCCAAGAGGCTATGATTGCCAGCTTTTTTATCCTTGCTAGAACAAGGACTGAGGTAGGAAGAGGTTTAGCAAATTGTCATCGGGCAAGAGGCAAACCTAAGCACTTGACTGCCAGCCCAAGAGCTCCATTAAATTATTTCAGACACAGGGTGTGCTTCAATGAAGCCCAGCTACCATCCTCTGAAAAACTACGTCTTTTTTTCAGTGCAAATACAGCATGTTTTAAGAAACCAAACAGTCATAAATCCAAGAGCAGAGAGCTCTGTGTGTTTTCTCCGCACCACACAGCACCTCACCACTGTCTGACCTTCACCCGGGGGTCTCTCCTGCTCAGAGGGGACTTTCCTAACCCCACTGTGTCTCACTGTGTTGCTCTGCCTCACGCTTACACTGACTGCTGAAAGAGGAAGCAGGGTGAGGAGAGAGAGGTATACAGAAAAGAAAAAAAGACTGCAAATCTCCTCCAGGCCAGAAAGAATGGCTTTTCTAATGATACTTCATTTTCTAATTACCTTCACTTTTCATGGAAGGTATTTCGAACCCTGCAGTCTCCCCTGATGTGGCATTACTGCTGTTTTCAGAGGGGGAAGCCAAGGCACCGTGATTAAGCCAGCGGCAAGGCATGAAGCATCACCACAGGAGCCGGTGATCTCTTATGAAATCAGAGCAAGCCAGGCCAGCACAATGTGCACGATTCCTTGCTGGCCTCAGGCAACTTTCAGTACTTTTCAGAACAGGGCTGAAATTGTCAGCCAATTCAATCACTAAACCAACGGTGAATTATGGAGTTCCTAGCAATTGTGGGGTTTATTCTTTCATTAGTTTTTCACTGTTTCTTTTTTTACAGAGATTTGCTGCCCTTCACCCTGAAGCTACCACAAGCAATATTAGAAGCCAATAGCTTTCAAGATCTTGAAATTATCTCTAGTCTGGGGATAGGTAAGTCCCTCAAAGCACTCAAGGTTTCTCTGAGGCTTGTAAGAACCACAGTGCCTTCCACAGATATAATGCAACTGGTGAACAGATGCGCTATTGTCTCCAGAAGAGATGAGGAAGCCTGAATGTAGGAGAGAAAATATTTGTTATCTTTAGGTTCATGGAAGCACACTGAAAAAAAGCCCACACCACCCCTTTGGACTTAAACCTCCACTGGACTTCCATGTAGGGCATGGTACCTACATTTTCACCATATGAGCTAGGGCAAAAATTTCAATAGCTGAAGCATGGCACAGCCTCTCAGGATAGCTTACACACATTCAAAGTAGCTGACATCAGAGGTATATGAAAAGAGGAAAACATCTTTGTAATTTCCCCTTCTGATAAGTCGGGGCAATCCTGATGGAAATGTGATATTTTTCTATTTTGGTATGTCCGCTTCCTATAGCTGGATTTCTAGCTGGTAGAAAAGTGCCCCAGTGTGTTCTCTTGCCTCACACCGATAAGATACAGAACAAAATGTTATTTTTAGTGACAGCACCAAATGAGCAAATTTTAGATCGTAAATATAAAATTAAAGAGTTGAAAAATGCAGTTGTTAACTAAAAGCACTCTCTTTCCTTCCTATATCTTCCCATTAAATGCACTCCACCTGAGATGACTGTTGCAGATAGCAAGTGCCTATCACGTTCCTATGCTTTTCAGTTTCCATTCAGCTGTTGAAAACAGTGAAACAATGCTGGAAGCTGAAGAGTTTGCTCACTTAGAGATACTCAGAAGAATACCTTGGGGCTTTTGGGATCTATTTTTGGATCTTCTGCAATAAACCTCCCAGAAGGGATGGGCAAAACCCTCTGGTTTCAGTTCAACCAGCTTCGTTGAATTTTACCAGCAGATTTGCCTCTTGACACTCTCAGCATCCTCTATTTTGAATATGTTCCAATTCTTGAATATGGGAGTCCAACCAGCAACTTGAGATAACAAGTTGAGAACTTACTATTAAGTTCATTATAACAGGTGTAAACTTTTGGATTAAAACATAAGAAGTGCATCATGATTCGCCAACCTTCTCTCTCATCGGAGAAGGTTGTGATTCAGGGAAGTCTCCAGCAACTTCTGAAAGGATTAACCAAAGCACAAGCACCAAAGCAGTGTTGGTTGTATTCTTCTCTCCTGTACAATGATGGTCATAAAAGTAGGGATGTCTAGAGTTTTGTTTGCCACAGGACATTGCATGCTAAGGAAGCTTTTGACAACTGAGAAAAAATGCTATTGTGTAGAGATTTTCTGGGAAATTATGCTAGCTTCTTGGAGTGTCGTGCTGTCTCAGTGAGGTTAAAGAGGATGAAGTAATGAGTGGTGGTGTTTGCTGCTTCCTGGAACAAAATCTCACGGGTACAAACAATATATGCTGCCTATTGTGGCACTCCCAAAGGAACCCCAGTGTTGTTTGAAATTCTAGTATGTTGATTTTTATTTATTTCCAAGTGATGTGAGTTTTTTTGGGGGGAAAGAGGGAAGGGATGAAAATAAGAAGTCAATCTGCAAGCTGGATTTTTCCACAAAGGGCCTGGTTGTAAAATATCTGTCAAAGCAGATATACTGCAGGGCCTGTAGTCCTGACCTCACTGGTATAAAAGGTGTCTTCGCAGCAGAATTAGTGTGACTGCAGTGCACAGAGAGCACATATCTCCTTCACACAAGTGCCAAAGCCTCAAAGAACTTCTTAATCATCCCTCCCAGGATGTAAGGTAAGGGAAGAACCAGGACAGCAATGGGAGAAGACCAGACTGCCCCTTCCTTTTGCACAAAACAGCATGGCTGGGCTGGGGAACACCCTTCGTGAAGCAGCTGTGTAGCCCTTGAGAAGACCGCCACAGCTTCATCTGGTCCTTCACAGACTGAGTGGAGCATTGCATTTTTGTCACAGTGTTTTATCCTTGCCTACTACTGAGAAAAATAACCAACTTCCCTTTTGTAGATTGGTTTACTCACCATTTCCTCAGCCCATGAGATTCTGCAGCATTATATTCTGACTTCCAGTTCTCTGCATTTGCTGATACCCAAAGGATTTAAAGCAAAGGAAATCATGACCTAGACAGTCTCACGAGGGGCTTGGTAACATGGTACCATATGTGCTGTTGCATCTGCATGTCTGCTCCCGAATTCTGTTGTCAAGAGTGCTGCTGTTCCTGGCAACACTTTTATTTTAAGCTTCTTTATTCTCCTCTCTCTCATGGTAGGGAATCAGAGAATAAAGCTGTGCTAACCTCAGCCTCCTGAAGAAAACATGGGGACATGCTCATAAAGTCAAATTAGCCATGGATACTAGCCTGGGTTGCAAAGGGCTAAATCAACAATTTCATCCTGATAGGAATGGAAGAGCTGGTATGTAACACTAGCTTCTTGCATCCTTAGACTACCAGATTTTTTATAAGAGATGCTGTTATCATCTCCATTTTTCAGCATGGGGAAACTGAGCCACGGGCAGTCTGCTGCCTTCCAGGGACAGAGTCAGAGCAAGTACAACATGCTTTCAGGAGAGCACGAGACACAGAAGGTGGCCAATGGTTTGACTTTAAACATCAGGGCTTCAGAGGGTTTTTCAGAATTTGCATTTTTTGAGCAAGGAAGGGGCTGTGGACTCAGAATAACTGGCTTGCTAATGTAGTACAGAAAGACGGCTGCTGGGTTGCAGTGGGTAAACTGACACAAATAAAATTAAAGGCTCTTCACCGCCCTAACATGACAGTCATGGAGGAGCCTTTCTGCTCCAAGTCTGGCACTGCACGTGACCTTCCACTGCTTTAGTGACTTGTGGCCACATTCTTCACTTGGCTGTGGGTGCCCTCGCTCTTTCTGTAATGGCAGATGCAGTCATTTAATTCACTCATGCATGTAGCCTGCTCTGTAGGTATTCTGTATAAATGCCTGGTCAGAGGGAGCAGAGGCAGCTAAGAGCCAGCTGCTCACCCTGCTCTGCCTGCACACCCATGGACTGTGCCTGGGGGTGACATTTCTGGCAGAGGGAGGCACTGGAGGGAAAGGCAGAGGCTACGTAGGGCGGGTCGTGGTGGCAGCAGAAAGAAGATAGCTTTGCCAGAGACTGCATTGAGTTGGCTGCAAGCAGGAAGCCACCAAGAGTCACGTCTGCACCGGGGAATACATTTAGGAGAAGTGGTCTCTCTTTGGGGATGTAGTGGAGAGATTTTATCTGAACATGTTTCACTCCACAGTTCAGTACTGGCTTTAGTGAAAGTGTTTCTTTGCTCTGTTCTAGGCTCTGCTGTAGCCTTCCTACCTGAGAGTCCCTCCAGGCGTTTCTGGGTGCTGGCTTTCAGGAGGAGGCCCAGGGCTGTAGCCAGCCCAGCCCCGCATCCTCATCCCTGTGATGGGCTGGGGGCTGCACTGCTGCAGCTGACAGGAGAGCAGGGCCCTGGCCAGGCTCGGCTGAAGGCAGAGTCCTGAGAGCTGTGCTGCAGCCCCAGGGCTGCCTGCTGGGCACTGGGGCCATCCCATGTGTCCCCTCCTGGGCTTGGCAAGTGAGGTTTTTGCAGTTAGGCAGCTGCAGGCTTGGCACCAGGCATGCTGGAACAGTTTAATGTAGTTATCTGCATCTCTGTGTTTTTGGGATTTCCCATCTTCCCCTTGTCCCTAAATCCATAGGCACATATGCAGTCCTCAGCCAGGGAACACCCTCATAGGATTTTACCTCTTTCCTTGGTTAGAAAACAAAGAGGTTGGATCCTCTGTTTCCTGATATTTCCAGTAGTGGACCCTGAATTAGCAGCTGTAGGAGTGATTAAAAGCAATCAAACCAATAAAGCAAGCAGTTTTGAAAACACACCTCTGGGAAAAGGAGAAGAGGTCAAAAATATACTGAAACTGCTCAGAATACATACAAACACTTCATAATTTTTTAAAACAATTTATTGAAAGACAAATGCCAATAATAGATTTATGACACGTAAAATGACTTCTTGCATCTGAACCACCTTCTTTTTCCAGTCACAGCTGATGGCACTGACATACATAACTGTTCTGTAGTCCTTCAGTATAAAACCCTCCTATGTACACAGTCCTGTGCACCATCTTTCCTCTTTCACACCTGCAGCCAGGCAGTCTCAAGGCAAGGTGCAAAACAGAGCCTGGGCACGGCTCTGGATAATGGTCATCCAGAGCTGTATAAGTTAATGATAAACTTGGTCTGTGGAAGTAATACAAAGTCATGTATTTCTGGAGTGGTTGTAATGCAAGGCAGGATCAGACCCCACCACATGAGCTCACTGCTGGGTGGAGTCGTCTTCATCTGATGACTCTGGTGCTCCCGGCACATTTGGGGTCCTGGCTGCACATCCCAGCCCCACACCTTCCCACGGTCAGCAAGAGGCAGACAGCAGTGGCCTGGGGTCTTCACTCACCTTTGCATTTTGAAGGCAGTGATCACTGAACAAGCCCCAGAACATTTTTCTCAAACATTCATATTTGCTACTTGCACCTTCCTGCTCATACTGCACAGGCTGCACATTAATTTCTCTCACTAGAGGAGCATTGTGAAGAAATTGGCAAGAAATTCATCAGTTTTCTGATGAATTTCTGATGAATCTTCTGAGACTTTCCCCTGGTTTCATACATCTCATGCACATAAAACAAGCAACCCTTTCTTCATACTGCTTAGTGCAGAGGTGTGAAAGATGTGTGCCATTTCTTTTAACAAAAAGTAGGACTTCCACATACAGTTAGCAGCTAAAATTCTCTCAGGGAGTTTTTACATTCTTCTTCTTTTTTAACTTTTTTTTTTTTTTGACAGACTTCTGGGATTCCTCCTTAAATCGTGGAACAAGAGGCGAGGGGTTATTCCACCCTGCAAGAGACTCTGCTTTCAGCACTGCCCAGGCAGACAGTTTAAGATCTACCCAGTGTTTTGCAAGTAGCACAAACCACTGCTCATGTGAAATTGAGCTGTCAATAGGAAATGACAGGCTGTGGTTCGTGAATCCTATTTTTATAGAAGAGTGCAGTAATCCTTTTCCTCCAGATGTACCTCCTCCTAAAGGCCGCACTGTGAGCGTCGATCTGCCCCCTGACACCACGCTCGCCGAAAGGAGGTCTCCCCGCCGCCCCCCCCCACCGCCCCCTTCTCACGCTCACAGTCAGAAGTCTTCTCTGAAGCTCCCGCGGGATCCGATGACGGCCTGTGAAGAAAACCAGCTGCTTCTTCAGCCACTAGGAAAGAGCATCAAGGAAATGAAAATTGAGGGCGGTGACGGTGAAGAAGAAGAAGGGAAGCAGAGCGGCTCACTCAAGGAGTCCCCGGCAGCGAGCCCCAAGAAGGGTTCCCAGCCCTCCGTCCCCCCGCGGAGACGGCTCTGCGAGAGGAGCTCAGAGGAGAGCTGCTTGGGTAAGCCTGGAAGTTGTGAAACGCTGAAAGGGGAAGAGGGAGAAGGAAAACAAGACGCGAGTACAGAGAGCAGAGATAAAAAGCTGCTGTGCAGAAAGGCTGTAGAAATGCCTGGGGAGGTTCCTGAAAGGGCTGTGTCACAGTTTCAGGAGACAAAGCCTGAACCTGCAGAGAAGAAGGAGCACATGCCTGATATACAAAGTAATGACATTAAGAATGGAAAGTCACCTCCTATCCCTCCACCGAGAAGGAAGAGGCTCTCCCAAGTACCGAGGGTCCCCAGCTCCTGCCAGTCAAAGCAGAGAACGGTGGTGGAGCTGGCTGTGTCTGCGGTGCAGGTGCAATGCACGAGTGGCTCAGCACCTGCGGCAGGTGGTGCAGCTTGCACAAACACTGAGACTGAACCAGGACGTGGCCGCAAGTCTGTGATCTCAGCCGAACTGAAAGGTTCCCACTTGTCTTTGGAAGGCCTGGGAGGCAGCGCTGTAGCTCAGGCATCAGCGTCCGAGCCAGACTCCTACTCCACCAGCAGCACCGAGGATGACTTGGACATGCTGAATAGCTCATCTGGTAAGAAGACACGCTCCATGATATTGGACAAGGCCAAGAACAGGCTGTCCTTTGTCAGCCTGTCCAATGTCTTCACAGTCTTTTTGTCGAATGATAGAAAGCTGCAGAAGAAGATAGTGGAGCTGGCACAGGACAAGGATTCGTACTTTGGCAACCTTGTGCGGGACTACAGAGTATACAGTTTGGAGATGATGGCAAAGCAGAGCTCCAGTACAGAGATGCTACAAGAAATACGGATGATGATGACACAGCTAAAGAGTTACTTAGTGCAGAGCACTGAGTTGAAATCTCTGATAGACCCAGCCACCTACACCGAGGAACAGTTAGGTAGGTGTTTGTGCTTTACTCATCCTTGGGAAGGATTTGGGAGAGTGAGGAGGGAGACAGAACTATGCTGACACAAGTTCTGCTTTACAGAAATTATAAGCCATCTCCCAAAGGCTGAGGGGTTTAAACTGAAGTCTTCTCTGTGGTTGCCAACATTAGGGGGAGCATCTTTAAAAACCAGGAGTCCAATGAGGGGGAAAATACCATTCTGAATGTTTTAAGGGGATGAGTTTAAGCAGGAGAAATGTGTGTTTGTGTGTGTGAGAGAGATGTGTGTATGTAAATATGCATAAGCATGCACAAAAATATGCATACAAATATATAGCTATAGAGGCATGCACAAAGAGCTGTGTTCACTGCAAATACAAAAGGCCGAGACCCTGCACAGCTCTGTTCCCCCTGGCTTTCCACGTCCCCTTCCCCACACTGCAGTGAGGATGGAGAGCTCCCTGACTGTGGCAGCCAGCTGGGGACCAGTCGCTGTCCAACAAGGAGGGACAAGACTGCAACAATTTTGAGTTCAGGTTGGAGGAATCATTTGATCCAAGTCGGTCTTTGAGCCTCAGCACTGAGGCATTGAAATGCTGCATGCTGCAACACTGCTGGCTACACAAATGCAGCATTCACACCTCTATGCTACAGAAATCATGTGCCTTTGGGGAGAAAAAATAATAATCTTTTTGGGTGCTTGAGGGTGTTTCACTCAATCTGCTGTGAGTCATAATTTGCCATTTATCTCCTTGCTAAAAATAAATAAATAAAAATAGACTGGCCTGGCCATTTTATGTGTGTTCAGGAGGGAATACACAAAGGGGTTCATAAGGGAATACGCACTCTTTTGACTTAAAACTGTTTGCTCAGGACCTGGGAACCAATGCAGAGATACTTATAAATCCCTAAATTGTCTCAGAGCAATCTGGGAGCTGGAAGGCTCCCAGCGCAGACCATGGTCAACTACAAAAGTGGCCAGGGTGTCCAGGCGATCCTGCAGCTCCAGTATTGGTGGGGGGGCAGCTCAGTGGTGACCCAGAGGTGCCCAGCTGTCAGTCTCAGCAGCCCCTGCTGACTTCTTTCTCACCCAGCAGAGGCCTTGAGATGACCCTGAAGCCTTCCCAGCAGAGCAGACCTGCTGCCCGCCCCTTGACGTAGCTCTGAGAGAGGAACTACAGTTTCACTTCTCACACACCTCGTATTACACCTGGGACTTTTCTCCCAGCAACCCCTTTCTTAGAGGCAGAGTGGGTGTCAGCACAGAAAGTTCACTATGAGTCTTGCTTGGGGAAGGTGGAGAGGAGGCAGAAAGAAGAAGTGTCCTTGTTCTGCTTGGTAGAGCTGTGTGTGTGCAAGGATTACTGACATGCTTGGTTAGATCCAGCCCTGTTCACTTGCAGTTCCTTAGCAGCACGATACGGCCCAGTCAGCCTTCTGTAGAGGACAGGGATTCCCCTTACGGATGATTTACCACTCAAATCCCTCCTGCCTCAGGCTGATTTTCTGAGTCTTTGAAATCCTTGCACTTTGTATCCCTAAATGTCACTGCCTTCTGTTTCATGCCTCACTGACTGAGCAGACGGCTCCCTTGGCAGTGACCTTTTAGCCACAGTGCAGGGGTGACAAGCAATCCTTGCAGCCCTGCTAGCTCTGCCACTGGTCTCTAGGAGGTGGACAACAGACTGAACGGCACTTTCTCACAGTCTCTCATGGTTCCTTTTGTCTCCTGCTGGACGTTAAGCAAACGCTCAGCCCACACAAACAATTTCCTCACACGCAGGTGGCGTAAGAATTGACTTAAACACCAGTAAAGTAGAGCTACTTGAGCAGGAAGGGTGAGAGGCTTCTGACCAGATGTTGGTGTCCACCTCTGAGCTGGTGGCTACAGCCCCTCTTCAGTCAGTGTGGAGAAAGGGGCACTTCAAGGATTCAGTTAATTTCATCCCAAAGTAAACAGACAGGTGAGAGAGATGTCTGAAGGGACATGAGGTGAATCCCCCCAGGACTGACTGTGAGAAGGAGCACAGTTAGCTGGGGTTCCTCCTCTCTGCCCAGAGCTGGCTTTCCTGTGGCCTGGCAGTGCCACACTGCTCAGCAGGCAGGCAGGGTATGCGTACTGGGGCTGCTGACAGCTGGAGCTCTCCTATGGCTCCAGCAGCAGAGACTGTGCAGTCATGTTGGTCTGCAGCCTTTTCAGACTTCTGGTAGGTGCCAGTAACGAGCCATTTACTCTCTGGGTTGTAATTTCTGTTCCCTGCTCATGGCTATTCAATAGTACATGAATGTTTTCTTTACTAGCACCTGTACTTTGGCGTTGATAATTTACCATGAAATTTTGTGTTCTCCCATCTCTATGCAGATGCGATTGCTGAGTCATCTTTGTACAAATGTGTCCTTAAACCTTTAAAAGAAGCCATCAATTCTTACTTGAAAGAAATCCACAACAAAGATGGATCTTTACAGCAGCTAAAAGAGAACCAAGTTGTGATACAAAACACAACTACCACTGACCTCGGTGTCACAACCAGTGTGCCTGAAACTGTTGTGCTAGAAAAGATCCTTCACAAGTTCACAACCATGCACAAGGCCTACTCTCCAGAAAAGAAGATTGCCATCTTGCTGAAGTCCTGCAAACTCATCTATGACTCCATGGCTCAGGGAAACCCAGGTACAGCACTGCTACTGACATGGTATTCCACACGGGTCCTTTGCCAGGTACCGCAGGAACAGGGTTTATGTTACAGTCGATGTGGTAATATCCAGACTGTGTGTGTTTGGTATCAACTCTTATATCTTGGTGTGTTTGGTATCAGCTCTTCACAGGTTGTGTTCAGATTGCGCTGGTTAGTTTCTGTGAAGTTCTCTGCACTAATAGCAGATACAAGGTGTTTCTTGGTTAACTTTAAGCTCCATAACTCCAGGGATCAGATAATGTCTGTAAGCGTGTACTTTATGGGTAATAGCCATCTTGCACAAGCCTTCATGCAGCTCTCAATAAATCCCCAGAGCTCTGTCCCAGCTCATAGCAGTTTAATGGTAACCTATAGGCATGGGTCTTTGGGAAGGGTCTCTTGATTTGGCCTTTACAAAGTTTTGCCTAAACTGAAGAGGAGATGCAGAATACTGGTACCGTTTGTTATTAATTCCTGATAGTCCGGTAAACTCCAAGAGCCACTACTAAGCTTCTGTGGTGTGAGGAAGTCCGTACTCCGAGTATAACTATAACTTGGGCCTCAGGCCAACCGCTAAATGCACGTTAAGCCCTTGGCCTGAAGACAGGATGCATTTTTGCAGATAGACCAAAAAACCCTTCCTCCAGGAGCCCGCCTTACCCCTTTAAGAGCTTTCTTTGTGTGTTGGGGAGCTGATGAAGAGTCATATGTAATTGGGAGAGTAGCCAGATACTCATTTGCAATGACCTGCAGTTTTTCAAGAAGTTACCATCCACAAAGGTTCTGCTCTGCTTTGTTCTGTACCAACAACAGCCATGGGGCGTTCACTCAGGAATTGTCCCTTGAGCTTCTTATAGGGGTCCTCCCTTGGACAGCATGCAGCAAAGTTCAGCAACTGATCTAGACACATTAACAGCAGAACAGGAAGCCACACCGGGGCTGAGCGTAAGCTGCAGGGCAGATAGGACCTTTGACTGCCTTCACCTCATATGAGAAGATTTTGGCGCATGTAGGGCAATTTGCTGTAACTTTCTAAAAACAGCTGTGTTACTTCAAGTCTGAGAGAATATCTGATGTAGATCAAAGACTCAAACACCTCATTAAAACCCACATAGGAGACACAGTCTCCTTCCGATGGCGCTGGCACATTATGTATCTGCCTCAGCTGGCTCAGGGTTGGAATTTCTCTGTTGCAGGAAATGCTGTTGTGTCATTCAAAAAACCTGAAATGTTTAAAAAGGTTGGCATTCATGAAATTAGATGATTGTGGTTTGTTCTGCTAACTGAAGCACTTCATTTCAGCCATCTCGAACTGTTTTCTCA